ATTTGCATAAGTTACTTTGTTTCATTTTTTTTGTCAAAATATTATTGTAAAATAATTATCAAAAAAGTATTAAAATTGTATGAGGTCTAATATAAAATATAAATAATGGGTACAAATTTTACTAAAATTATATAAGCATGAAATGTCTTCACTTTTTTGAAATTCTTCTAGATTTTTTTAATTCTGGAGTTCTTAATAATGAAAATAACTCATATTTACTATTAAATTTTATACAAAACGTTTTTAAGTAGCCAAAGACATCAATTTAGAGTTAAAGAGATTCGTTATGACGAATGAATCTCCGAAAACCTTAACATTGATAGTACCAATATTTTATTATTTTATCCCATAAAAAATGTGTGCAGGTGTTTTAACAAAATATAAGTGTAAAACTAAGTTTGCATACATTTTTTTAGTAATTTACGTAAAGAAATATTTGAAGTTTGCATAAAGGATTAAATGTAATACTAAAACTTTGTTTTAGTAATGTATTAACTTTGTCATGAATTTGATCCTGTAAATTTAATGATGTCATTTATTTGATGTATAGAAGTATTTCAAGAGTTGAAAGATGGGTAAGAAAGTTTACCATGATAGACATTGTACAGCCCCTTTAGTCTTGCATAGCCTTAAAGTTTAAATCATATTGACGGGCCAATATTTCGGCAAAATAAATAAGAACAGAAGTTATGAAAAAAATACAATTTTAATCAGATCACGTCCAAGGGCTTATACATGTCAATTCAATTCAGCTCTTTCAGTTTAGTTTTCAGCACAGTATCGGATTTATACTTCTTATTTTTAGCTTTTTGAAATAATACTTGGCTATTATTTTTAAAATAAGTTAAATTATAAGAACCATTATACTATAGTATAAGTATTTATTATAAACGGACGGTTGGGTTGGGTTATATATTATTATAATAATATATTAACCCAATTGTTTATAATAAATACTTATATTATAGTATAACGGTTCTTATATTTTAACTTATTTTAAAAATAATAGCCAAGTATACGGACTAACCATCCGTCCCAGAGTATCAATGGTTTAGAAACCTCCTCCTTTGGGATAGGCAGCTATGAACCTTAATAGGCGTATAAAGTGTTAAAATAAAATTTATTATAAAAGCTTAAACCTTTGAAATACGTACATAGTGTTTATATAAGAGTTCTTTTTCTTTAAATTTAAGTTGTAGATTATTATTTGCTCTTCATACAAGCTATACTTATTTTAAATCGTTTTGTAATATCCTTTTTTTTATTTGTTTTGTGTGATTGTGATTCGGTTGTATACCGAAATATTTTATTATCGAACTAGAATATTTTAGTGGCATATTTACAATTTTCATTTATCAAGGTACTTACCTTTTAAAGTTTTTGTTACATCATAAATAAAATGATTAATCTTTCAATTATTAAAAAAAAATTACCTTTACATTTGACAATTAACGTTGGGTTAGGTTTTACAAATGGTACATTGTCGACTAGATGTAACTAATTATAATAATTTATGAGTAAAGAAATAAATACACAATAACTTTATTTTTAATGAGTTATTTTAAACATGGTGTGAATATTAAATAGTTAATATACACACGAGTGAGATTCATTTACATTTGTCTTACACGGCTTACATGATTAAATTAAAGTATAGCCAACTGCATGTAATACTAATATGTATAAGATATCATTAGCAATGTGGAATTCTCTCAAACTAATTATAATTCACAAAAATTGCCTAAAATGTATTATTGCTCGATAATAATTTTTTAGAAACATTTATAAAATTTCCATTTTCAATAAAAAAAATTATGACTCTTGAAAATTTGTCAATGAAACTTTAAAATAAATATTTTATATATAACGTTTCAATAAAATAATATAGGGTAACATCAGCAATGAAAGAACCATTGCCAGTAAACGAACACCACTAAATTTTTAACTAAAAAATTGTCAATTATGATTGCAATAAGTCTTTGCTAGCGGTAATTATTAAATAAAAAGAAAATATCTAAATTAAATTTTACTGTAACATCACAATTTTTGATACAATATCCCTAATTGTTCAATTATTCATTAGTGAAGCTTAGATATAGCTCTATGTAAATATTGTATTTTTATATAAAATTAATATACTACCTAGTATACAATATTTTATTAAATATTTATTATTTAACTTAAAAAGTCTCCATAACAATTTAGTTTTTTATTTGCAATTTAAATAAGTTTTTGTATTGATCCAGATTGTAGCACTATAATAAATGGATAGTTCAGTATCATTCGTCTGACAAATAATTAATCTTTTAAACAGTACTGAAACATTGGTTTGTAGTTTTGCCATGATTTCGAACAATAGACCTAATGTAATTTTGGAATTGGTTCAAAAACCCATTGGCACAGCAGGAAATAAAATACACACATTTAAAAGTATAAAATATAATGCACGCTAGAAAATAAAAAATAGTCGATGAGAATGTAGTCAATAACATTTTTCCAAATCAATATGTGATAAGGAAAACTTAATAAATTATTATTGGTTTTTAACTTTGAGATTTAAAAAATAATTAGTGATACAATGAATACTATAACATCAAAAGTCTTACATCTAACGTATTTAGATAACAAAAAATCAATCTGAAAAATGTTATAGTATAATAGTCATAAAGATTTTTGTAGCACTACTACTCAACTTCTGTAAAATTTAAATTTTAGCCATTTATTCATAAATCCAATAATTACAATTGGAATTATTAGGAATTATAAAAAGTACCTGTTTTAAGCTATAGAATTATAGATAGGGTTAATAACGTTGTCTCTTTTTTTTTTAATTGTAATTTTCAGTTAAATATACTAATTTAATAAGTTTAATGATTTGAAAAAAAAAAATCAAAACACTAAAATAAAAAATATTGAAATGTATTTGAATATGACGTTATAATGTCTATTGAATATGCAAGACATTTGACGAATACTTATACAAAATAATCAATCGTGTATATTTATCATTGAATAGTGTTCTATCATATCCAATTTTATTCTTTTTAATATTTTGATATCAATATCTAACTTATTTTAAATGAGTTCCCACATCATTATTAAATTTTTAGTATTAAATATATTAAAGCCATATAAAATTCAAAATAATCATTGTTAATGTTATACCTTTTATCAGATTAAATTAACTGAATATAAATATATATATATATATATATATTATATTTTAACTTCGAAGGCGTAAATAAAGTTTTAATACTTTAACTCAGTAGGAAGTAGATGAAAGTTTGCAATAGTTTTAAAATAACGTATACTTGAGTTTGATTAGTGTTAAACTTCATTTTAAACATTTTAAATGAATGTATTTACTATTTGAATTTTTATTTACTTATCAGTAAAATAATATATTTAATTTTTTTATAAAATATTAGTGTTATGATGAATTTTTCATTAACTTAACTAACGCAGACCTAATAGGTTTACGTGGCTATGTTAATAATTATAAAGTTAGAATATATTTTCTTCTTTTTCTTCGCATTTATCCCAACTACTTGGAATTGGCCACCCTTATACTAAACTTCCGCTCGACACAATTTCCCACATCATCTACGCACACATCATCCGTTCTCATATCACATTCAATAATATCTCTCCACCTCTTTTTCCTCAACATTCATTTCCATAACTATTTTTATAGCTCCCGATTTTTCTTTCCTTCTAACATGACCATCTTAGTTTGCTTTCTCTTATCTATCTACGATTGACGCTACACCCTCTCATATGCTTGTTTCTTATCCTATCTTCTCTAGTCACTCCACTCATCCATCTAAGGATTTTCATCTCTGCTACACTCATTCTCTACTCTACTTTCTTATCAACCGCCCAACATTCTGAACCATACATCATAAATGGTCTCACTACAGTCTTGTAGAATTTACATTTCCGCTTCATTGGAATTCTTTTATCGCATAAGACACCAGACGCTTCTCTCTACTTTAATCTGTGTCTTACATTCTCGTTAATACAACTGTTCCTTTGCACAACTGATCCTAAATTTTTAAAACTTTCTACCTCTCCCATCACGACCTCATTTATTGTTACAAAACTCCTCATTACACTTACCTCGTGTTCTCCTTTGTCAAACTCGTATTCTATATACTCTATCTCACTCTTACTTATTCTTAAACTCCTTTCTTCAAAAGCTGATCTCCACACTTTTAACCTTTGATTATTTTCCTCCCTATTTTCTCCTATTAACATTATATCGTCGGCGAACAATATGTACCACGACACCTCTCCTTATATTTCTCTTGTAATTTCATTTATCAATATAGAAAATAAGTAAGGGCTTAAAGTAGAACCTTTTTGGGTTATAAATTATCATAATTTAAAAATTAAATTAATAGGTCTGAAATCTAATAACAAATGTATACATCCAAATTATATTATAGTCTTTTTTTATAATTCATAACCTTAAACTAGTACGTATATTTCTCAGTCAAGACTAAGCTAATAACCTAAACAGGTCATCGTGATCCGAATTATATACGGTAGACAATAAAAAGAGTATAAGTTAGGTAGATATAAATATTTTATATTTATTTACTTTTTGTATTTTATAAATTCTCTTTATTGTTTTTTTTTTTTAACTTATAATATTTTGTAAAGTACAAATAATAATTATGACAATAAAGAAATGTTAAATAAACTATAATTTTGACCTGAGCTACCATGGTCAACAGGTTAATCATAAAAATGACCTGATTTGCGAAAAAATTGTCTAGAAACATTATCAATTAATTTCAAATAATATAATTTCATACTTTTTTGTTTTACTTTATTTTTGAGATAAAAAATATTTGACAATAAAAAAATTGATATTCTACAAAATTATCACACTTAATTGTAAATAGAAGATATTTTCAAAGATTAAATCATTGATGCATTCTACGCATTCTTTTAAATTTAATAATTTATGTATTAATCTACTTAGAACTACTTACCCCGCCAGTTATACTATGACCGATGCCAGTAGTGCTAGCTAGCTCAACCATTGGACAACTAGGTCTATGTTCTTCTTCGTGGAATTTTGGTTGATATGGTTCCAACATTCGAATTTTTCCCCATCGATTAAAAAATAATGCAATTGCTGCTACCCACAGTATCATAACGCATATGACAATAAATGCTTCTTCTGTACGAATAACAATTGGACCTGAAAAAATTTATTATTTATATTAATAAAATTAAAAGTATATGAATTATAAAATTAAACCATTTGAGCTTATTTTAATTTTATAAAAGATCCTCTTAAAATTCAATTTAAAATAAAAAATTAATAAATTACTACCTTTTGCCAATTTAAAAACTATTTTATGTAAAATTACTAGCGTGTTTTGACGATAACTACTATGTAGGGTCAGTTTACAAAAATCTTTTCATATTATGGAAGAGAAACTATTTATTCATCCGTTCAAAAGTATATTTTCATAATTTTTCCTATGTATTCTATTCTATTTGTACGGGTCCCGTACAAGCACAATTTATTTACATACGATTAGAGTAAAAACGAAAACACCTGAAAACGTCTTGAACACTATGAATTTACATAAATGCTGTTAGAATAAGGTGTGTGTCAGTGAATATTACAATAAAAATGTAAAACTTGAAGATAGTTGTATAAAAACTTTTGCCGAATAAAATATAGTTTCTCAATATTAAAGGATAAAATATTTATGGAGTAAATGTAACACAGTTAGCTATACAAAGAGTAATTTAGGGAACTTTTGCGAGGAAAATATAATATAATGTACAAGTGTATACTGAATACTTGGCACTTACACCAGGGGCGTCATTTCAGTTTTTGTTTTGGGTGTACGGGATTTCAAGTAAGCCATTTTGAAATTTCTTCAGGCCATATAAAAATAGTTATACCTACTTAACTAAATTATTTTTCTTTTAATTTTTCCATGGATTATGAATCACAATCAACATAAGTAGGAAATATAAATTATAATAATACTTACTATTTTAATATTATATAATAAAACGTAGTTTCGGGGTCGTAGCATTCGTTGAATTTTATATTATCAGTTCATTACCGTTATCAATTGTAGCCGTTAACTGCGCGGCAAAAAGTCGTGATAAAAACAGTTACGAACATTAAAATCAATATTTCGGTACGAATATCAACGGTTAAGTATGTTATATTTATTGTTTACTCAGTTAAATGATAACAGAATATTTGTCTATTGACCCATGTAACCATGATAATACAATGTTTTTGAAAATTAAATTGATGTATAAAAAATTGGCGCATTATTTTCGCAGGATTTGGGATTGTTTTTAAGTAAGGGTGCAACCGCACATCCTGAACCCTCCCCCAAATGATGCCCCTGACTTACACTGAGCACTTGTACCTGTGCTTTACTATAGTAAAGCACAAGTTGCCAAACCAATTTATTTACAATAACTTGTGGTAAATAAAAAAAATGAGAGTAATAAAGATTTTTATAGTTCATATTTTTAATTATTACACATTATATAATGTAAAGAACAAATTTAATGCCATAAAATAAGAGATAAAATATGCGAGAACAATATGTGACATAAAGTGCCATGTGACACGTTAAGATGTTTTCCGTATCTAATACATATTATTAGTTATTATTTTTGCTATTAAAACAATAAAACACTTGAAAAATATTCTGATTATTTGAACTTAATTTCAATGAAAACAATTATTATGACTTAATCTTTAATTAATATTATGCTTCATAGATTGTAAAACATCCTGTGACAGCGTTTTAATGTAATACTTGTAAAAATATGTTATTCAATATTTTACAAATATTTTTAAGATTTTCTTGATTATTCTTTTAATATATTTATTCAAAATAGAGTAATTTTATACATATTGATGTTTATAACATACTAAATAATAATCCTGTTAAAATAAAAACCCGTTTTTATTTCCAATTTTAAAAACTTAATGTCATCCTAATTACAAGTGTAACATATTCTATTACTTGTAAATTTTTTGTTATTACATTTTCGATGAGTTGTACAAGAATTTATTTAAATTCTATAACGCCTCCAGATATTTATTTCGTTTCTTCAATTAAGTTTTAGTTCAGATTGAGTATTTTACATTACGATTTGTGGTCTTTTAGCGTATCGTTTAAAAAAATTGATTCGGTGACAGGTATTAATACCTGCTCAGTTTCGTATCGTAGCTAAAAATTTCTAAAATTATTTTTACTTGTGTCAAAATAAATGAAATAAAAAAAAACCTAGCAAAGCAAGGAGGTGACATAGTGATTGATATCTGACAGTGGCTAACATATCACTGTGAATAACGCTTCAATGCGATTATGGACAAAAAAAAAAAAAATGAAAATTTGGTGGATTGGTTCTTCAGCTACCTTCTTTTTATATGACTTTGAAATTACCAAATTAGGTACTAAATGATATAAAATTTTTTGAATTCTTACAAAAAAAAATCGTAATTTTTTTTAGAGTTGGATTTTCAAAAAAAAAATGCTTAATAAAAAAAATCTATAAAAGGAACCTCCAAAATGTTGTTATTTTGCTTTATTAATATTTAAAAGGTTATAGTAATTAAGTTAAAATAGTTAAAAAAATATCAACATTTACCGATTTTTAGAGTAGTATTTTGAATGAAAAAAGATTTAAAATATTAATTAAAAAAAATATTTAATTCAAAAAGCTATAGAAAATACTAAAAAATAAAGAAGCTATTTTTGTATTTTCTCCATTTACGAATAACATTGAATATTCTTCAATTTTTGTAGGTAATATTTTCAGAAAAGTACGGTTTGTGTTCTTCCGACTTATCATTGTGCAAAACCAGTGTAGTGGGAGTTTAGAATGTGTGGTAACAGACACAAAAAATAACACATCACAGTAAAGCTTATACGTTGACAGCTTCGCATCAATACTAAAATACGAAAGAAACGAATGCAATAAACATTTTATAGCTGTGATTAGATAATGGAGTTTTTCGATAGTCTTAAACCGTAGTTATTAAACTTTAATTATGAAGTCACTTGAACCAGTTAAATTTAATTTACTAAAACATTTTCATCGATTTCCATACCTTTTATAACAAATGCGCAATATATTTTCTATAATATTTTCAATATTTGACCGAATACCAAGTTAATTATTCGAAAGTGATGTGGTGGTCTTTCGTAAGTTGTTAGTGTAATATGAAGAATAAGTACTGTACAGAGTAAGCTAATAAACTTACCTCCCGTTCCCGTGGGTATCATATCCGAGGGCATAGTGGATGAGTCATCGATTTCCTCAACGGCGAACACTTGGTTAGACTTTGGCTTGTCCACCCAATGAGTGCCGTCGTCTGTATACGGCGTCCCGCCATATATAAATTCTGTGCGGTTGACATTTTCAACCATTTTACGGTTAAATCATTCTTCTGCAAAATTCAGACATGGTTTAATTAAGACTCGAAGAAGGACAACACTAAATGTGTTTTACAAATTCATTAGCTAACACTATTTAACTGCCAATAAGATTAAGTAATCATTGGATTCTATATTGACATACTACGGACAGGTGTATTCAATTATTTTAGAAATACTCTCTACGGGTCGAGGAAAACATTTAAATAGGCTATAGTCAAAAAATGCCTCGATTATTATCGCCGTGTTAAAATACTTGATTCAGCAATAGTAATATTGTTGAAGTAAATACTGAGATTCATAAATTAAAACTGACTTCAAAATTGATACTTGATAGTTTATTTAATTAAAAGCATTTATTAACACGGTATAAGTTTATATTGTAATAGAACTTGTATTTATTTTATTGATTAGTTACAATGCGTTAATTAGTTTTTATTAAAAATAAGAATAAATTCTAAATAATTAAATCAATTTAAACATTTTAATTAATTATACTTAAAACTATACGTGAAATGTGTGTGTGTGTGTTCAGGTGTAACAAATTGCTGACCTGTGATTAAATTTGTTCTGATCTTAAACTCGCCGTTAATCTTTTTCCTCTCACTGTAGTCCCTTTGGTTTCGTTCAAAAACGATACAAGAAAAAAAAACGTGTATTTCACTATTATAGGTATATTGTATTTAATTTTTATTAAATATACTTTTAATAATTTCATCATAGTAAAGAAAACTTTCGTGTGTGTTATTGGGCGAGAGCGAAAACGTGAATAAAAAATAACTCTTTAGTTAGACCATGTTTTATTCTAATTTAATCTGATATGATCTGGTCCGCAACTGATAAAGTTATTTTAATTAGAGTCAAGTAAATGAGGATAGCATGTGTCTGTGTTTACAACCATATGGTGTTGCATAAACAAGTGTGTCATTACAATATTTTGTAATGTAAACGAATAAAATTATTCGAACTAGTATATACTTATGAGACCTGTATATTTAAATAAATCCATGTATTTCAACCCCTACAAAAAATTATCGTGTTTCAAAATTTTCCTATTACTAAATACCAAAAAAAAATCCATAGGACAATAAAACCTACATAGCCTTACGCAACAGAATTGAAATCCCATACATACGCACCGAAGCTTATCTAATTTTAAAAAATCTGTTCAAATAGTAAATTAAAAATTATAAAAGCAGTCATAGTTAAAATATAGTGTTATAATTTCAAAAAGCATGTCTTTTATATACATTTGAAAGCCATTCAACACTCTGTGGAACGTTATAGCAGTCTTAACTTCTAAAATATAGAAGGCTATAGGTTAGGACAGAATTATTTGGTTACATTAAAAATTATATGTTTCTGATATGTATTTTCTAACAAATTTGATAAATCATAAAAATAGAATTTTAAGGTTTTTGGTAATATCCAGGTGACTCTTTTGGTGTCGCGTTATTTGATCACAATAAAATGAACGAGTGCATAAGAACAAGTTGTAATTTGGTCACAATCATTTTTATCGCAATATAAAAATAAATAGCCCTATAACAATTGTAAGATCTTTGTAAATATTTCTGTTTTTAAACAGTATGCTTGCACCGTTTGGTCGTTGAATTTTATGGTAAATATATGTCACAAAAATAAACTGTTAACAGTATGTAAACGAAGTAAAATAAGTCGCTAAAACGTCATAATTAACTACTCACACTGTTCTTAGAATAGTTATAGGTAGGTTAAGTATTTATTTAACCATTAAAAAAAAATTGATACTAATATATTATTTAAAACAGTTTAGTCTAACGTTAATATTGTTAATCATCTACCATCAATTAATCATTTAAAGCAAATAGTACAACGTACAAAATTGCAAAACAGTTCAGTGCTACCTAATTCTAATAATTATACTTATTTTAATTATATTTGACAATTGTATCAAATATTATATTTATAATTTTACACTATTTTACTATAAATAAAATACTATTGTTTCAATATATTATTTTTTATTATATTTAATTATGGATTATTATTCTTTAATATTTTAAACTAATGCCCTCTGCGCTATTTTGGCTATCGCGGTTAAAATGTTCGCGACTAATTTTTTAACTCTTTCTTATGGCGTGCGCTTATCTTACTGTAACCAAATGACATGAAACAGATTCTTTTAACGTTAGTCAGTCGAATTTTCCTAAGAAAATAAAAATTAATCTTAGTTTAATATACTTCTCCATTTTTAACTATTAAGTACTTTTTAGAGACATTACTTATTTCTTATAAGGGTGTAAACTTAATTCTTTTAAATTAATTCATATGTATTATGTTACAAATATTTTTAATGGAATATAACCTAAAAAAATGACAGGTCAAAAATAATTTTTGGACCAGTACCAATGCGAATTAAAGAAATGAGTAATAATAAAAATAACCCGCAAGTCGCCATATAGTTTGAAATATAATAACTTCTGATCTAGTAAAAATTGTTCAACCAATAATTTTCTTAATTAGATCATTATTTATTTTGTGTAAATTAATAAAAAAATTGACACCCATATAACTTATTTTTAATTATATTTTTATTATAACTCATTATTTTTATATTGAAAAATCAAAGAAATGAGTAGCTAACAATAAAACAATCGCCTTATATAACAAAAATGGATATTTTCTGTCATCTGTCTAAGTAGAAAATGTCAATACACTCAAAATAGTTTGTTTTTGGATTTAAAAAATATTGATTTAAATTAACTACAGATACAAAAATACCTTTTTAAAAAAAAAAATTGATAAAATCGACATAAAATGAATGTATACATCATCTTTGAAAGTTTTTTTTATCTTGTTTGAAACTATTAGTAGTTTTATTATAGTAACAATTAGTTTTATGTATATTTTAAATTAATATCAAATCCATTATGGTCTGTAAATATATAATAATGTTAAGATTCGTTATAATTTGGCAACTTAAGTAATAATATTTCAGAGAGTCATTTTCTAAATTACTCTTCAATCAAAATTCGGTTTATTAATTCAAGTATATACAATTAGTATTATTATGTTTTGTACACACTTAATCAAGTTAAATAAAATATTACGGTATTGTAATGAAATACACAAAACAAAATTATACTACAGGTTAATTTCAAGCTACATTATATTACTATATTTATGCATGTACTATAGATATAATATCTCTTAACAAAGAATAACCAAAAAAGTGTAATTAAATTTATTATAACAAATAAATTTAATTTTTATGCAAACCGTTATTAAATTATTGTATTGTATCAAAGATGTGATTAATTTTAGCATTTTAAAAATCTCCGTGATTTTAATTTTTATATCTAAAATTCTTCAAGATAAGAAATTACGAAAAAGAATTTTGATGAAATAATAGAATGGTTGAAATGTGACAATTGTGATTTTTCAATCATAATTGTCACATTTTAAATTTAAAACGACTTTTTATAAAATAAAAATCTGATCTGCTTTATCGCGCATTTTTATAATTTAAAATAAAATTAGGATGGTTAAAAATAAATACAATATTTTTTTAATTACCAGTTTAATTATAATTTAAAATTGAATTGAGATACATAACTAATATTTTTTTGTCTTTGTCGAGGGTATCTGCGACACTCTTTTGTTTTAACAAATAATATAAAGTTAAAGAATTCTGGTACTTAATAGTTTGTAAAAAAATGTATTCCTCTTTTGAGTTTTTTAAAACATCTTTTATCATTCAAGTACAAATTAAATAAAGATAATCCAATATTCACACAAAAACCAAGTGGGTAAAACGAGTCTCAAGAATATTTAAATTTATTCAACGTGATATATTATTTATAATTATATTAAAATAAGTGTAATATAATGACAACTTTTAAAAGTAAAATAAAATTAAATGTCTAAAAAAATAATATTAGAAATCTTATGGTGTACAAATAACAATTTGATATTACTTATATTTTACAGTCAGTGTATTTATCTGATTGTTTATCTTAAGTAAATTTCAATTCTTAGCTAATTGCATATCAAAACATGAACTTTAAGAGTAAATAATAACTGTAGTTATTATTTACTCTTAAAGTCGATAATTGATATATCAATTATCAAAATTAACTTTTGGTGGATTAAATGTCTTCGTTTCTAAGTTTTTTGGCAGCAATATTTTGGCTCTCAACATTCTAGGCTATTTAACCTTCCAGTAGATTAATTTAAGTAGCTTTTATTTTACTATCATAAAAACATCAGACACAGCTGTGATGGAATAAATAAAAGTTATTACTATAGAATAATATCTTAACCGTGAATACGCAATCGGTGTTAAAAGTTAATAATGAGTCGTTGTGTTTTGATTACCATTTTAAATTTTACCCTCTATAATTTTTGTAAATTATTCGATATCGAATATTTTCATTGAAACGCTAAAATCAAAACATTGATAAAAAACTGTACTAAAAAATTGTCTAAAATAATAAAAGTCATTAATCGATAACATTGTGAACAAAATAATGACAATTTGATAGTATTAGACATACTCCGTACTTTATCAAAAAAGTAATTAAGTAGAAGCTTAATACTGGCAGTCTCCTAAAACCGCAATATTATGTTCATTGACTTGTTATTTATTACATAATTTAAACAGAATAGAGGCAAGGAAGGATTCCGATTTTTAATGAAACTGATGGCTGAGTAGAATAAGAATGTTTTCTACCGCCACTGACGTAATAGCTATAAAAGAAACTATAGAAACAATTACGGATAAAAATACGTTGGGTACTATTACCCTATTTACGATAAATAATTCGGCATCGTGAAACTCGAGATCCCTTAAAAATATTTCATCATTAATTAATAAAAGTTAATGACACGAAAAATGTAATTATCTGATTAATAGCATTCATGAAAATAAATTTGATAAAAAAATATTTGTTAAAAAAAAAACCGTCGGTTAAAACATTTTATATTCATTTATGATAGAACGGCAGTGATTAAAAGTTTAACAATGTACACG